TACGCACCGCTGCGGCCATCAATAATAGTACCCCCAAATAAAATACTCATCGAGGCAAGGCACCCGCAGAGGCTCGATGAGATCTTCCTTGAGTGGCGACGTGGCTTGGAACCCATCCTCAGCTTGAGCCGAGACATGGGTGGCGTTCCCAAAATCAGGGGTACCTTTGAAGGGGATTATAGGGGTTATATGAAGGTTCTAAAGGGATTTATAGGGTTTAGGGTTTCGGGATTAGGGTTTGGGGTTTCAAGTAGGGGTACCTTTTTTCGGGGTCCCCAAAATAGAAAAGGACTATAACATTTTGCGGTCTACGCTGGGGCTCCAACTGGAGGATGTGCAGAGAGTGCCCTCAGATTGAAGTTGACCTTTCTTCCGGGTTTAGGGCTTTATTGCTACACACCTAGGCCAGTACATGACAGTCCCGGCTGCTTAGTGTTTCCAGAACTAGCGGACCAAAAATCCTATGCATTCTTATTCGAGAGACTCCGAACAAAGTACCCCCAACATTGGTCAATGTCAGGATGCCTCTTCGGGTACCCTACCTGAACCCTCCAATCTAGTTCCATTTTGGGTTTGTTATGATTTTTTGGTTAGGACTCTTATTATTAGGACTACAAAAAGGTACTACATTGGAGGGTCTAGGTAATTTTTTTGGGCAGGATTACAATGGGGACCCCAAAAAGGGACCCTTTTTTTTTGACTCTTGAAATGCAAGCGGCGGAGAGCCACAGATGTGCAGCATGCAGGAACAGCCGCTGACCACACCACGCAGTGGCCTCCTTGCGCGAAGTATTGGTTGCCTATAACCACCCAACCCTAAACCCCAAACCCTAGATCCTGAAGCGTACACCCTCCTAAGCCCTAAACCGCATAGGGCTTACAACCCCCTAAAGGTTCCACCTGATTTTATGCGAATTAGCCCTGACTACCTTTTAAGCAATTACATGGACACCTAGATGGCTCGAATCTCCTCAGACAGCGTGAACTCCTGCTCTTGCCACAGAAGCTAGACTTTGTACTATGTCTCTACCTTGGACCCTTTAGGATTCTGGGTTTGTGCAGGACTTCTGGTAGCATGCCTTCATCATGGTGTGGCAGAGCCTTTCCATATGTTTGGTGGAAGTAACCTCAGGAGCCATATACCCCCTAACTAAGGCATATAAGACTAACAATAATAGCCAGAAAGAAACTAGGGATCCTAGTGTCATTCAGGGCATATTCCTACATTAAAGGTCTTGGGCTCTCTAGGCAAGCAAGGCTTTGGACAAATCTGAATCTGTCTGGGCGCGCAGAATGAAGGGCAACGAGGCTTTAGGGTTTACCTGTAGCCCGAACTATTATGAAGCATTATAGCTGCTAATCAAGGGTTAGACATTTAGAGCCAAATCTTAAATACATAAAAATGAAAGAGTACGTCGTCCTTCTTCGGGGCGTAGCGCACGTCCCCGGCCAATGGGAAACCTCTTACTGAGCAAGGCTAGAAAAAAGTGGGCTGGCCAAGAAAAAAGTGCACCACATCCCCTATATAGCCCCTACATCGCCCCTCCATATAACCCCTAAACCCTAAACCCTAACCCCTATATAACCCCGTGTGAGTTAGCACGGCCAAGGGATGATCCGAAATCTCATCAGCAGGGTCACCACCCCCCTCATGCCTACGCAAACATTTTTGGAGGGGAACCTGGAGCACAGCCAAAAAATTACCGAAATCCTGCTGCTCATTTTCCCTAGCGTGATCCAACTGAACAGACACCCCAAGCAAGCATATAGGCCTTTTGTTTCAAAAGGGCAGAACTCCATCTACGGCCCTATGTGGGCTTCCCATCGGTCGTGTGGAGCCCATTCATGAGCACTCAGCCGTAAACCTGAACCCGTCCAACCCCCAGCCCTGTTTGCATCTGGGCTCGCCGACAGCCCCTAACCCGTAAAGGTTTTTTACACCCTACACCCTAACTCCTAAGTCCTAAACCCTAGACCCTAAGCCCTCCACCCAAACCCCAAACCCTGAACCCTAAACCCTACATCCTATAAGCCCTAACCCTAAATCCTAAACCCTAAACCCTAAATCCTAAACCCTAGACCCTAAACCCTAGGCCCTGAACCCTGAACCCTAAACCCTAAAACCCTAAACCGTGAGCCCAACCCAACCTCGGTGCGCGAAGTGTGCGCGGATCTGATGCATGCGGCCCGTCAGAGGCCAGGCAACGACCAGTGAGTAGCAGTTGTGGTGGTCCTTGACGTGGTTTTGGATTCAGTTTTAGGGTTTAGGGTTTAGGATTTAGGATGTAGAGCTCAGGGTTCAGGATTTAGGGTTCAGGATTTCGGGCTTAGGATTTAGGGTTCAGGATTTAGGCTTTATTATTCACAGGGTGCAAAGTACCTACTTAGTAAGAAGTATGGCTTCTGCACTGGAAGCTTTCCCTATGGTTTGGGTAAGCATTCCTCGGATGGACATTCAATTCCCTTGGGTGAGTTTAGGGCTCATGATTTGGGGTTAAGGGTTGCGGTCCTGGCTTCGGCCACAAGAAGCATACTTCTGAAAGGTATTTGACATGGAGCTCCGGCAAGGAATAATAGCAAGGATGAAGTCCAGGCCCTCATGGAACTATGTCCACGCTTGCCTAGCATTCCCTGGCAAGCAGAATAGTATTGTCAACACCTCACATTACCCGACTGTGCCAGGATTTGCAAGGGTTCTGGCATGGGCTAGTGTTGTCACGATTCTGGAGAACAAGCTAGGCTAAGGCCCCAGATCCACCAAATCGGGGAGGTCCATGAAAATTATCACGGCATGCTTACCCCCTCATCAGCGCCCACACAAGGGATCCATTACCCTGGGATCCATAAATATGCCCTCTATATATACCCTATAGGCCCTAAAGGTTCCCCTAAAGGGTCCTTATAATCCCCCTAGAAGGATGGAGGGCGAAACGAACCTTGTTGCTAAGGTCACCAAGATTCATCTCCCCCAAGAAGAGCTACCTTTCTATACCTGGCGCAGGGCAGATCACAGCAAGAAGCTCTGGCCTGGGTAGATGGCAATAAAAAGCTCCCCCCTACACCCTAAACCCTGAACCCTAAACCTTAAACCCTAAACCACAACCCTAAACCCAAACCCTAAACCTTAAACCCTAAACCGCTCTGAATTGAAAGGGGCCTGTCGACACATGCGGACCTACAGGATGAGAGGAACGAGGGGATGCTTACGATTATGTAGGATGATGCTGGGACATGCGGCGTGTAGGTTGTGCGTGTAGGAACTGAGGGATCCAACTAGAGAAGGCCACAAAGCACTACTGATCTAAGCGCTACCTGGACCCCAAAAGTATGTAAGATAATGGCCTTTATGGCTGTCATTTAGGGTTTAGGGCTATTATGTTACATACTTTTGGGGTCCAGGTATAGGGTTCTGAATGTCAGTGGCGGCTTTATGCAGCATTACATCCAGCAGAACTTGTGGGAGATTCGGCGGGTTTCTCGCACCACACATTAGGCTCCAAGCAGATCCTAAACTATCGCTTGCATCCTATACCTTCCGTTTCTTCATTCCCTCAGCCCTAAACACTAAAACCCCAACCCTTTTGTTGCAAACGGGCTGAGCATGTTAACCCTCCCTTTCCATTTCTTTCTAGCTTCATCCTTGGCCACTAGCTACACCTAGACCCTCCTATGTTGGTTTGAGCAAGCCCTAAACCTTAAACCCTAACCCTAAGACCCTAAACCCCAAACCCTAAACCTTAAAACTCTAGAACCATAGCCGACCATAGCAACACCCATAAGGAGACAATTACATAGGAGCCCTTGGATAATCCCCACCAGGCCTAAACACTAAACCCTAAACCCCCCTAAACCCTAAACCCTAAACCCCACCGGCAAAGGTGCTGTGTGACCGCCGGCTTCCCGTAGGGATGAACCACCTCAAGGCTTAAGGGTCTCAAGTTTAGGGTTTAGGGGTTTAGAGTCTAAGGTTTAGGGTGTTAGGTTCAGGGTTTTGGGGTTAGGGTTTAAGGTTTTGGGGTGAAGGTTTAGGGTTTAGGTTCAGGGTTTTGGGGTTAAGGTATAGGGTTTTGGGGTGAAGGTTTAGGGTTTAGGGTCTGTTTTGGGGTTAAGGTTCAGGTTTTTGGGGTTAGGTTCAGCCCTCCGACCAGCCGTCTCGCCGCACAAACACACATGTCACAAGTATTGCGCAGGCCAGCATTTCGTGGCTTTTCCGGCTCAAAAGTGGCGCGCAGCTCACGCGGTTGCGCGGCTAGCATCCGTGCAATGTAGTTGGCCATGGCCAAGCTTCGCTCGAAGCACTTTCAGCGCGGGCGTACCTTCTTGAAGAGACCTGCCGCTTCTCGAGTCAAAGCCCCTGCGCGGCCACACTGCCGCACAGAGTCTCGGGAGACGAATCGTCAGCACATCAAGAAAGGATGGGCCTTGAAGTTGAAGCCTGATAATACCCTGAACACTCCTCGTGTTGAACGCGCGACAGCTGAAGGGGGCGTGGCTGATGTGTCGCTGGGAGACATATCCCGCTGGTCTCTCCTGAAATGCAGGAAGTTTCTGGAAGAGCATGGCTTCTACCCTGCTGTCACCAGGCGAGCATGCTGGAAATGCGGGGTTTTTGGGTTTAAGGTTTGGGGTTTTGGGGTCTAAGGTTTAGGGTTTTGGGGTTAAGGTTTAGGATTTTTGGGGGTTAAGGTTTCGGGTTTTGGGGTCTAAGGTTTAGGGTTTTGGGGTTGAGGTTTAGGGTTTTTGGGGTTAAGGTTTTGGGTTTTGGGGTTAAGGTTTAAGGCAGGGTTTTGGGGTTAAGGTTTAGGGTTTTGGGGTTTGGGGTTTAAGGTCCGCCGACCTTGGAGGCGTCAGTGACGGAGAGAAACGGGGGGGGGGGGCGGTATCCCGTGCCCGCTTCCCTC